TTTTCTACCTGCCATGTGTGAAGGATCCCAGGAAGCTAGGGTTTAAGGTTTAGGGTTTAGGGCTTTAAGGCTAAGGGTTTAGGGTTTAGGGCTTTAGGGCTTAGGGTTTAGGGTTTAGGGCTTAACATGGCAAGGGGCTTTTCCAAGTGACCACACGGATTGAAGTGAAGTGGGATTTGTTGAGTACTTGTGTTCGAGCAGCTGTTGGATTCCTTTCGCCACGCAGCTTTGATCAACAGAGCAGATGCCCACAAGTACAAGCAGCTTTTGCTCCAACCGCCTAAAAGGGAGTTTTGCGCAAAACGCACCCCCATGTAGTCCCATAGGTTCCGTGAGGGTGCCCTGTTTTGAGGCTTCAAGAGCCGCAAACCCTAACTTGTAATCAGAAACCTGGCGAAGCCCCAGTACAGGTGGTGCCAGATAGTGACTCGCCGGAGTCTGCGGAATACTCCTTCACAGTGTGAGGTGCTGGTGTCCACTCGAAGATATCCAGGAGTTTCCAAAAAGGGGCTTCCGTTTTTGTAGTGTCCTTGCATTGACGAGCTCGTCGGTTTGGGTTTACATATTTGTTCCTTTCCTAAGTGTTACGGACAGCCCCCGCGTTTGACGAGCACGTTTTGGAGCCCCATAATTTTCGGAAACTGCTAGAGCAGGGTCTGTTGCCCTCCTGGGCCATCCTCACCGCTTCTGGGGCTGATGTCTTTGGCATAGCCTGCACCCACCCAGGGCTTGGTTTGGTGGCGTCTTAAAAATGCTAAACACAGATGGGGGCTACGAAGTAGTACGAAAGAATTCTAGAGGGTGGGTAGGCCGTAGATTGTGACATGCCAATGTTGAAGTAGTACTGACTAGGTTACAGCTACCAGATTTTATGGTGGTAGTTCTAGATTCTAGTCGTAAGCGTATTGAAAACAAGAACCGCCGCCGTGAAGAATCCCAGCTCACAGACACCCAGATGCCCTAAGGGATCCCTCTACAAGTTTCCATGGCCCATAGTCATAGTCACAACGTATGAAATGGGGGTTTCCCAAGATTAGGGGTACCTTTTTGGGGATTCCGAAAAGAAGTTTAAAGTACTTTTGCCGTCTATATTGGAGTTCCCCTTAGTTCGGGAAAATACCAACAGCGTTTCTTTTGCGTTTTGGGATCCATCGGGTGTCTGGATAGAAGTCACTTCGCTTATCGAACTACGCCAGGTTTGTCCCGGGGTAGCTCAAGATCGTCTACCGCGAAACTGAGAGAACAAAAGACTGGGTTGCTGTTAAGGAATTTAAGTTAAGTTGCTATATCATATTATTCACTACATACCCGTATTCTGGTAGCTTCACTTAATTCAAGTTTCTTACCAGCAACCCAGAAGATTCCGAGGGAGAGGGAGCTCTGAGGTGGGGTGCGGACATTTATTGGGTATAGCATGACTAAGTAAGGTAGCCCCCACGTGTACCTGCTCTAGAAATATTAGCAGGCGCGCCCCATGATGAACGCTCACGTCGTGCTCATCATCATTGCCGTTATTACTACTGTTCATACTAAAAATCCCTTACTATAGTACCATAATTCCCAAGGTATAAGGTACCTAGGGTCATGCAGGATTTCTAGTATCCACCCTAGTTGATATTATTACCTCTGGTATTCATAAATGTAGTCCTGGCGGGAGGAGGACGCAGCCCCAAACAATTATTGTGTGTATGGACTCTGCATGCGCGATATTCTCTGGGTTGACTGTTGTAGGGGCAGTGCGGGGTAGGGGCTTGTGGTATGGTTTTTAGCAGTTTGGAGAAGTGAGTTAGCTGGCTGTGTTTTGAGCCTCATCAGAGGTGATTCATGAGGAGCCTCATGATGCGGCTTGCCCCAAAAACCGGCATTTCAAAACGGATCCTTTGCACCTTCAATAAGTCGGGGATGGGACCAAACCGTATACAGTCGTCCCCACCTTCTTCACACGAAGGGCTGTCAATGATGAAGGCTCTGTTTTTCGGGGGGGCCCTTGCAGGAAGCATTACAACATTCTGGGCTCTAAATTGGGTTCCTCCTATTTACAGAAGCTACGACATATCGGACACCAGACTCTTGAAGCTTCATCGAGCCTGCATCGTCAGGTTTCTGGGTTGAATCCGCAACCGTGATCTCCACATCACCGGAAACATGGCCCCAACCTGAAACCTTAAAACCCTAAACGCTTTTCGACGGGATAATTTGATTGTAAACCTTTCAGAGCTTTTTTAGTGCGGGTGTTGAGCTTAGGATTGCGGAAGGCCCTTCCACAGCAGATTTACAAGGGCACCGCAAGTCTAACGACCTACTGATATGTGAGAATTTTCGCAGCTACGGCATGGGAAGAAGCATGGCAATGAAATAATTAGTCATGAAAGCAATAGGGTCCGGATGATGGAAATCACGAAGCTTGTCCTAGACGTCACAACCTCCACTGAAGCCTGAAACCTTACGCCCATACCGTGGGTGCTTTTCTCATTTGGAAGCACCCTCTTGCAATGTAAAGTGTACCCTAAACGCTAAACCCACTCTAAACCCTAAACCCTAAATGTACAGTGTACCTAACCCTGGCCTGCCAGCCTGCATGGTCTGCTGTTGCTCCTTGGCCTCCCTCCGTCTCGCTCTCCCTCTCTCTCTCTCTCTCTGCCTCAGCATATACATGCATATACATGCATATATGCGTATACAGCTACATCCACGGACACATGTACACGTACATAGTACACACTTGTGTATCTCTATCTGTATATATATACATACACATGCATTTTCAGGCAACTGGGCTTCTAGGACAAGCTGCCCAAACTTGACGTAATATCTAACTTCTGAATGCCAAATTCCTGTTGCGCAGGGGCTGCCGTCCTTGGAGGCAGGGCAGAAGGGCCCAGCATGCCAAAAAGCTTTGTAGACAGCTGAGAGAGTAATAGCAATGATATTCAAGGCTCGGGTTTAGGGTTTTCAACGTACGAGCCTGAAGAGCTCTAGTCCCAATCTCCCCATATTTGGGATAATTCCCTAAAAGCAGTGATTTTCCCCATTTGCCTATAAATTACCGTTCTTTCAAGTATTGAGCTCTTTCTTCAAGTGTTGAGCTCTTAGCGCTGTCCTGAGCCGGCGAGGTGGTAAAACTCTGGCAGTCTCTCCCCGATGAGGGCCATCCGATGTTGGTCTCCCAGGTCCAGTTGCACTATTCTCCTATGTTGTGATGCTTAATATTGTGATAGCTATTGTTATTGTAGTTCCCATTTGCTATCCATCTTCTTTTCCTTTTGATTCTTGATTACTATGGGACTATAGAATCCCTTAGATACCCCCCATAATATAACCCTATTTGCACTTCAGGGTTTCCATGCCATTTTCCATGTTCTTCTCGTTTTCAGTTCTTCCTGCAGTATTGATAACTGTCTAGGCATTTGGCCCCCTACATATGGATCATCAGAAGTCCTCCTAGGGTTGAAATCTAAGGTCCTTTCGGGTTTATTGGATCCCAACATCGGCTCTACAAGGTTTGCGCGAGAAACCTCTAAAGCGACATGTATAATCCCCTTTAAGTAGATGGAATATTGGGTATATGGGGATCTTATGCTAATATACCCTGGACTCAGCCAGATTCTGCAGGGATTGGATGCCTGGAACGGACAAGTACTGAATACGCACTTATAAGGATCAAGAATTCTAAAGCGGCACAGGTTGCACAAGATTTTCCCAGGTTAGTCCCCTAAAGCCTAAACCATCCAACACCTGTTTTTATTGGCTTGGAGGTGCCAATTACTAGGAAATGCAGTGAGAATTGTGCAAGGGCTCATGGGCAACTTTTTGAAAGGCATTGCAGCACACAGTTGAGGCCGCATCGGAAAGATCCGGCCTTGCAGAAGTTGATGTCTGAGGCCAGACGGGAACGGAGTCTAGTTTCCTGCAGGACCCATATGAACTATCATCTAAACTCCTTAAAGGGGGTTATATAAAGGAATATACAGGGGACTACTATAGGGGTTATAGGGGGATACTAAGAGTTTAGACCGTGGCTCAGATGGGTGGTTGTCAAAGCAAGGGTCCTTTTGTTGGGTACTGTCTATGCATGAGGGGCCGTACTGGGAATCCCAAAAGGGGTCATAAATTTGCCAGCCCATGAACCCCCAAAAGGGCGCACACACAATTCTCAGAACTCCCTCAGCAGGTTCTGAGTAGGTTTTATCCGAGCTTAAACCTAAGTATAGGTCAGATTTCAGGAAACAAGGGGATGACGCGGGAGGCGAATCCGTGTTCTGTTATGAAGGCCCTTCTTCATGAGTCTTTCTGGTGGTTAGTAAGAACAATTGAGGGAATGTAATGCCAACATAATACCTATATGATAGCTTCCTTTATTCCCTACCAACCACCGGCAAGGAATCCCCTTGGAGATCCCATTTCTTGTGCGTTTGAGGGTTCCGCAGTTACTTGGGAACATTTTCAGCCCATAGCACGGTAACGACTGCCATTCTCACTGTTCCGAAACCAACAATAGGGGGACCCCAACATAGAGCCCCAAGTATTGTAATCCTTATTATACAGACCCCTAAAATCGTACCCCTAATTCTGAGAAACCTCGACATCTTGCTTGACCCAATTAACACATTGCAAGCCCACATGAACCCTTTGGGTTCATTACTAAAAAGGCTGCAGCCTTGCCGCTGACACACTCCAAACCCTAAACCCTTTCGACAAATCCAGGAGTCCTAGATCTGAACCATGCCAACCCAATGCCCCTTCAGAGAAGAATAAGAAGCAACCTACCCCCCCACTGCACACCCTAAACCTTAAACTCTAGACTCCCAAGCCCTAAGCCCTGAACCCTAAACTTTAGACCTGATCCCTAAATTGAAAACCATAAACCGAAGACTCAAAACCAAGTGCTGCTGCTTTGCAGGCCTGGAACACGCGCTGTGGCGCCCTTGTGGCGGCTTTGCTGCGGGCCCCGTGGTCGTGGCCTCACAAAAATCACACGCACAACTTATCTGCGTGTGCAGACCATGGAAATCGATAAGAGTAAATAGAACGATCGCGTAGTAGTTTATGCGAGTTGGTGATGAGTAGAAAATACCTGATGACGCCTTAAATTGGAGAGAAGGCTGGCCTCCAGGTTTCGGCTCCGCTCGACTGGAACATGACATGGAAACGAGTATATATAGGGAGTATATCTGTAGAAACGGTTGCGCGGGAGGTTCTATGTTTCCTTCAGTGGATAGTCTCGCTCCCATTCTTAATAGCATTTCAATGGAATGCATGACCCATATTCCGAATTGGGCCATGGACCCCACTCCTAATCTATGCAGACGGAGTATGATCATAGTAATAGAGTAGTAATAATACTAGTAGTATTAACAATGATAATAGTAATAATAGTAAGAGTAGTAAGAATAAGAGTAATACCAACAGGATTGCTGCGCTTCTCGTCTTTGGTATGCAGGGAGCTCTGAGTCCTGCAGAATGCCAAGCCGGAAGCCACGAACAGCCTGGGAAGTCCACATTGCGCATGCAAGACTGGGTGCTGTTAAGGAACTTAACTAAAGGTACCATAATGGGTATATAGTAGTTAATATGGTTCCCCCCCAATATAGTAACTTAAATTAAGGTTCTGAACAGCCAAACCAGAAGAGGTGGAGTGGTTCGTTCTGTGCTTTGTGTTCGGATATACAAGTGCTACAAGCACTTTACTGCAGAAAGGATAAGCAGGTAGCACATGACAGAGGCATGTCCAACCTGAACCTAGACCCAAACCATTTGACTCTACCCTAAACTTTATAGACTTTAAAACCTTAAGCCCTGAATCCGGTATGGTCCCTATCAACACCCGCCCAGGTGTGTGCGACTGTTCGCGGGTGCGGACGCAGAAAACACTGCCAGACTGGCGGCCCTGGAAAATGGGGAGGCCAGCAGGGCTCTTTCTTGGCAGAGCTTAGTATTTTATTTGGGGATACTATTGCCCCAATAATGGAGAATCAAATGGAAAAAAAATGGAAAATGTAATGGAAACTGGGGTTGTATAGGGGTTATATTGGGGATATCGTATTTTGCTCCTGACGACTTCCAGCATGTTATCCTTGTTTCATAAAACATGCTCAAAAGCCCAAAGGCTTTGCAGGTGATCTTCCTGTTCGCCCAGTTCTGTTTTGAGTACCATGGGCCTAAGATGACATTGATATCAGTGTGGCATTTATCTTATGATTATCGGGTATGCTTTCCTACTGTGGCGCAGAGAAGCAGTGCAATAAAGATGCTTGGGTCGCGTTTGACGCTTCCTGATGCATGGCCTGTGCGTGGCAGAATAAAGGAATGTGGAAAGAAAGAGCCAAGGGGCCAAGAGAAGGACATGCCTAGGGGGCCTCGATTCGCCTACTGGAGGATATTCAGTGATACGGGATAATTTTGGGGATAATGGAAAATAAAATGGAAACTACTATACTATATTGGGTTATATGGGGCCATATAATGACTTGGACCCTTGTGGGTAGTCATAAGTGTGACTATAAGTCAGGTGAGGGCGACCCCAACTCCCCCCAAGCGGCCACAAAGAACTACCAAGGGCTGTAGCGACATACAGGCTATAATTTAGGGTTTAGGGTTTAGGGCTTAAAAACCCATCCTTCAGCCACACATGTGGGCAAACCGGTCATGTCCACTCAACCCCAGCGCCTTAAACCATTGAACCTGCGGCCACTGGAGCCTAGAAATGGAGCCAACATATCACAGCCCAAGCCCTAACCCTGTACCCTGAAATCTCATACCCCAAACTGCATGCTACCCCAACTCTGCCCCTCCATAACCCTCTGACCTGACACCTGATTTCCCTAAACTTCCTTAAGCCCCATACCCTAGATCCCAAACCCTTGAGCCTGAAACGTGATACACCCAACCCCGAAAGCCAAAATCCGGATACCCCAATCCCCCAAGCCCCGGCATCCTAATACTTTCATGCCCTAATGCCCTGGCCAGAATTTGGACTCCCACGATCCCGATATAATCCCCTTTCCATTAATGGGGCCTAAACTCTGTATCCATACATAACTCCATTATCTACATACATGGGGGATTGTCAAAATTATGGTCCCTTTTTGGGTCCCTATTATAATACGGGGCCTAATACGGGGCCTAATTTAGGGGACCCAAAAGGGACCATGATTTTGACAATCCCCCACATATATATATATACACATATTCATATCTCCCCTACACAATGCTAGGATCTCTCACAGCCGCCCAGCGCCTCACTGCAAGTCCTTCTTCGGCAGGTAGGGCTCAAGTTGGGCTACAGAATTTGGGGTTCAGGATTAATAAGAATAATAGTACTAAATAATAGTAATGAATAATAATACTAATAATAAATGAAAATGATTAATAAAAATACTAATAATAATAATTATAGTAATAAATAATGATAATTATTAAGTTCAGGGCGAAGGATTGAGAGTTAGAGCTCCGTGCTTAGGATCTGCAAGGTTTATCGGGTTTAGAGTCATGTAGTGGTGTAAGGGTTCAGGGTCTAAGGCACGGGGGGTTGTAGGCTTATGAGGATGCTTTGGGGATGAGGGTTTCTCAGGTCGTTCGGGGCACTGACTGAGGAATGGGGATAATGTTTCTCTGAGATACTTAAAGGTGGACCGGTAGTTGATGCCTACATTACATGGTAGTTTCCCCAATTAGGCGGACATAGACCCCAGAATACTATAATCCGTATTGTCGGGACCCCCAAAAAGGCACCTCTAAATTTCAGAAACTACCATATTAAACAGGGTAGACCAAGGCGAACGAAAACTGAGGGTGAGGGTCTAGGGTTTAATCGGGGTTTAGGGCTCAGGGTGCAGGGTTTAGGGCACAAGCTTTGAAGTGGTTTGATTAAAGAATGGTGCAAGCTCACGTGGCAAACTTGTTCTCATCTACTATCGTTGCCTTACTGGTGCTTAAGACAGAGTGGGGGAGTGGATCCCATGTATACCCTACAATGGTACTTATATTCATTGTCCCACTCCTCCTTAAACCAGTAAGCTAGTCTTTAAATTTTTCAAGCCCCTAAACCCAAAATAAGTTGAGCAGTAAGTTGGTGTAATGATGAGGGTGATTCTTGCTTTCACGGCTAGAGTTGCTTCGACTGTGAGTCCTCAAAATGACGGGTCAATACTTGTCCAAGTTTAGGGTGTATAGTTTAAAGCAGCTGTCCAATCCATGACATTGCAAACTCCTATCTGCCAACACTAAGACGCCTTCAAGTTGCAGAACCTCTGTAGGAACATGCCGATTGCAGCCAAAAGTAATACCAAAAAATCCACCTGAAGCCCCCTAGGAGCCCATGGCGATCCCAGAACATGCGAGCTATAGTCTAAATTCAGTCAAGGGGATTAAAGCGGGTTATATAGGGGATTAAAAAGGAAAAAAGGGGCCTGCTATAGGGGTTACAAAGGAGGATATGAGGAAATTAGACTATGGCTCATGTAAAGCCCACAAACGCGACCTCTTGCAGGAATTCGTCTTTTCCTGAGCCCTGCCTAGAGAGGGGATATTACCCGGCTTTCAAGCGTAGCTGCTGTGGATTTTGTAGCAGATGAGTCCAACACCAAGAGAACCATAGGGTAGATCCTGCAACGCCCCCCCCCCCCCCAACAAGCAGGCCCGCATCGCTTTCCAGAGTGGAAACTATAAGGCGAGTGGGTGGCCCTCTGAGTGCGTGTAGTTGGTCTGAATTGCTTCACTCCCCCTAGGACAGGAGGGCTGATGACAGGTATCATGTTGTTGCTGTTGCAAAACGTGATGGGAACAGGCCACGAACCGCCATACCCCTGGGCGTATGGCAACAGGAGTAGCTCTGGTATCCTTGCACTTCTAGCACCTGCTACCTTTCGTATTTGTATTCCTATGTTGTTGAATGAATACGTGCAATGACTGCTGCTGCTGCTGCTGTTGCTGCTTCTGCTGCTGCTATTGCCACTATTGCTGCTTAATAGCTACTATTGCTGCTGCTACTGCTGCTGCTATTACTTCTACTCTTACCACGCGTGCTGGTACTAGTACAAGTACGTATGAGTACTTCTTCCTTAAGCTTACTACATGGACTTCTGCATGCTCTCTTGGGCCAGAACAGCGGGCTTGTCGGTGCTCTTCGAGGAGAGCAGAACGCTCAGCGGGAAAACTTCATGCAGGTCGGGTACTCTCGAAGTCCCTGGTTGGTACAAGTGATTCTTTGGGGGCTTCCTGTGCTTGAGCCTTGTATAATGATGGCAAAACTTGAGTCCGGTACTTATTTGAGATGTTCGAACTTATGTATGACAGGGCCTTGCGCGTTTCGATAGCTACCCATGCGGTGAGCTACGGATAAGGCAAGGTGGGACATGGCGTCCCTCATCACAAGTCACGATCATCCATGATGTACGTGGTTGGAGCTATAGAACTGAGCGGGGATCCGTATTTTGGGACCGCCTAGTTTTTGGAAACTGTCTGGGACTCTAAAGTTATAAAGTGTATGGATTGAGGCCGTAAAATCATGAAACATCATACCACTAGGCCTAAACCCTGAACCCTATACCCTGAACCCTACACCCTATACCCTGAACCCTACACCCTTAACCTCGAACCCTATACCCTAAACCTTGAACCCTATACCATATACCCAAAATCAAAGCATCCGTGCCAGGCGGTCACCCTTATATCAGACATCATGTATCTTCTCGGAGAGGCTGTCAGATGCCAGGAGTTTGGGGTTTAGGGTTTTGGATTTTGGGTTTAGGATCTAGGGTTTAGGGTTTAGGGGTTTAGGGTTTAGGGCTTGGGGGTATGTGCGTATGTAGGGTTTAGGGATCATGGAGAATCAAATGGAAAACGAAATGGAAGGTGCAATGGAAACTGGGTTTTTATATGGGCTTGTGGGGGAAAACTATCTATATGATGCTTCTGCATGTTGTGTATAACTATGGTAAAAAGGCTACCTCAACTGGACCTCAAATTGATATTGGCAATTATGAAGCCGTCTTGCTCTGACGTCAGGTTATGGTCCAGTTCCACCGGATCAGCGATGGGCTGGGCGACTACGGCATGATTCGCGTGGCTCCATGGCTACACCCGATCTTGGACTCCCTCCAGGCTGGGTCGCGGTTACGGAACTTGAAGTAGGTTACCATAAAGGGTATATATGTATAGTAATTAATCTGGCTTCCCCAAAATACTAACTTGAATTAAGTTCCTTAACAGCAACCCTTCAGGAGAAGGTGCAGCAACTGAAGGGCAACCTCGAGCAGCTTAGCACATCTCTGGACTCTGCCTATGTCTTGGCGCGGGCACGCGGACAAAAGATCCAGAAGCCCGCGCCTTCTGACAGGATGTGCGCTCGCGCTCGTGATGCCCTGCAGCGTGCCTTGCTTGGCGGCACCAGCCATGCAAGGCAGCTGCTCCAGCTTGGGGAAGAGTTGAGGGCGCGGTCCGCCCCGGAGCGTTTGCCCCACCTGGCTAAGGGCTTGGGCGACGCCTGCCTGACCCTCAGCGAGGTTTTGGTCTCTGCAGAGTTCCGGCGCCACGTTGGAGATGCCTTCCCGCAACTCCCAGCGCTCACGGATCTTGGAGCAGAGCCGGCCCGCAGCAAGGCCAAGGGATCCCTGCCCGCCATCGAGGATGCAAAAAGGAGCCAGGCGCGGGCTGCATCCGAGCGGCTGGCGCGTGCACGGACAGTGGACACGATGTCGATGGTGCGGGTTCGCACCGAGCCCAAGGCTGCTCAGGTCCTAAACACTCCTTGGACTGATGCAGATGTGCAGGATACTGCCTCCACATCCGCAACGCCTCGCACCATGGTCCGGGAAGTTTCCCCAAGTTGCAGCAGCTGCTGCTCGGCTCAGACTGTTGGCGTCCCCACAAGTAGCCCGGTGCGGACCTTCGAGGTTAACCGCCTCACGTCATTTGAGCCATTGAAGCGACATGATCGCAGACGAATCGAGATACAACATGACGAGCTCTTGATCTACAGCACGGGCTCGCAATCCAGAATTAAATCTGCAGTTCAGCTACCCGAAGGGGTGGAGCGTGTGTTCCTCCTATCAGATACGGTTCTTGAGGCTTGCTTCTCACTTACCCCGGCAGATGCCCCACCAGGAAGCGGTGTGGTGCGCCCGAAGGACCGGGCCTTTGCTACACAAGGTTCAATTGATTTTGTCATGGAAACTAGCTATAGAAGCTATCTATGGCCCACTACGCCTTGCCTTTCCACGATTCATCGGGAGGTTTGAAAAGAACCGGTATTTTCTTTGAGGACGCCCAATCCCTTCTTACTGCCAATAAGGCAGTTAGGTACGAATGTTTTAATAACACTACAAACCATCAGAACAACAACAGCAATGTAATGATAGGAATAATGATAACAGTCGTCGTCGTCATCATCCTCGTCATAGTAACATTTATGTATAATACATAAGCCCTAAACCCTGAACCCCAAACCCACCCTAGGACCCTAGGATTGGGGTTCAAGAGCCGAACGGAGGACTACATGTTCGAGTTCACCACACCAGAACAGGCCGACATCTTTTGCGAGGACCTTTAGGGCTGCTATAGAGGCATGAAAGGGGGTTATATGAATCATAATCTAGACTCCTTAAAAGGGGATATAATAGGGCATCATATGGGGCACCACTCGATGTGGGGGACCACTCTATGTGTTATAAGGGGGATACAGGAGTTTTGACTATGGATCATATCGATTTTGAGATAATAGTATCTGTGATAATGGGGAATCAAATGGAATGAACATGGACAATGAAATGGGAACGGAGTATATTCAGGGGCTTTCATTGGTTTTCTAGGGAAATGATTATGGCATAGGGTACCTCAAATAGACCTCGAAATGATATTGGTAATTGTTTAGGCCCCTGCCTTTCATAACCCCTTATAAACCCCCATGTAAACCCTGTTTCCATTTTATGTTCCATCTTCTTTTCCATTTAATCTCCATTATTGGCGATTGTTTCGGCCCTTATTTTACCGCATAAATCCAGTTTGCATTTCATGTTCGATGTTCTTCTCCTGACTCTCCATTATTGGGGGCTAATATCCCTAAAGCCCTGAAACCCTAAACCCTATGGTAATTACTTCATTCCCAGGCCTGCATTTGTAGAGACTGCGCTCCCAAATGCTAGCTTTCTGAGTGGTCATCTATACGTACTGCTTCGGAGCGCCGGATGTGTGAAGGGTAGGCATTGGATTTCTTCTTCTCAAGTGGTCTTGTCCGTGAATGACAGCGCCTTTGTGCCAGGAGCTCTGGCATCGGGGAGTCAGATGAAGTGTCGCGGCGCAGTTGCTAAGGGCCCGCTTCCCGCGATTCGGGACGAGAAATTAAACGCAGTCTTGGACATGTGATATTCGCATCTTACCCCAGCCCTACACCTGAACTCCTAAGCCCTAAATCCTGTAGACGGGTCCTGAATCCTGGAACGCGTCCATCTCTGGCGCCGGCGACTGTACAGGCGCTGCTGTTGCCGCACTCTACCCAGTACTGGATTGCTATTAAGGAACTTAAGGTAGATTACCATAATACGAGTATATAGGAGATAATGGGGTTTCCTAACGATAGTAACTTGATATAAGTTCCTTAGCAGCAACCCAGAGTATCATTGAGCATGCGGGTTCTGGTTTGCGCTCCCCCAAAATCAACTCACCAATGAGTATGGAAACCCAGAGAATTACATGAGGTTTTTGGGTGGGGAGGTGGATGATCGGTTTCCGAAGATCCTTCCCCATCTAAAGCTCATACTTCGGGTTGTAAATCCCCAAGCAACAAAAAACAAATTCCTCAATTTAAGCCCAGGCAGTTGCATGGGTTCTTGGCCAATTTGGGAAGGGAATTGTTGTGGCTTTGCATGTCATGAATGTATTTTGTATACAAGGTCCCAGGGCCATAATGCAATGCTTCTATAGACCTTAAACCCTCAACCCTAATTACAGTCTGAAATAGAGTCTGAACTGCCGTTGACGGAGAAAATCCTGCGTGCTGCTGTCTCTCCAAAGCTTAGGAACTATGGTGCTATGCTATCCTTGGGTTGGAGTCATGCAGGATTGTGTTCATGAGCCGTAGGGGTTAGGTCAGACTGTTGCTTGCTAAGCCCTAGACCCCTAAACCTTGCAAGTTTTTGCTTAAACCCTAAACCTTAAGCCCTATAAACCTTAAACCCTAAACCTTAAGCCCTAAATCTTAAACCTTAAATCTCAAACCTCACCAATTGAACTGTTGGTTCTTCCCTGCAGGTTCCCCATTGCTGGAATTACCGTCATGCGCCGACTGACGCCGCAAAGCCACGCGAGCTACTGACTAGTACCGACTATACCAAGACTCTATTGAGCATTGAGGCGTGTGTAGGATTCTCTATGGAGCATTCAAGCGGGTTTAGGACTACATGGAGATGTAGGAATATGGGAATAGCATGAGGAACTAGATTTTTTTGGGGGATACTTCCTTCTACTGGATTTGCGTATTCTAGCCTCTGATTCTCGTTCTCGCAAAATTGCTAACCTTCAACCTGGCTGTTTGAAGAGTCTCGTAGTCAGAACTGTTTGCAAATGCTGAACAGCGTTTAAACAGGCCGTATTTTATTTGGGGCCAGGCTCGTCAGCCTTTGGTATCATCCGGCCATGGATACCTACCTCCAAGATGCTTTGAGCTTTTGTGGGCGATGGCGCATCATGGTCTTAATCTACGGTCCTTGTGGTTGTAATGAAGCACACGCCGTTTGGCCATACTTTGCTTCCGAAGTGTTTTGTGTTTCCTCATGGACTGAAACCACCACCTTGTTGTCAGGTAAGCTAGTTGCTTCAAGATGCCCACCCATGAGGAGGTTCTTTGTCTTGGCGGCCTTAACGGCCCAGACGAGTCTACCTTACAACATCGTGAATGGCATCTACGTGTGTAAACTGCTAGCATCGAAGGGCATCTATTGTTAGCGGAATTCTCAATGTGTATGTGATTGAGGTAACTCCTGTTGTTCAGATTTAAGGAGGTGTGAGTGTTAGCCCATGTTATCACCATTGAGATTTTTTGATCTCAGCCGTATGAGTTGTTTGGATTCTGTTCTATCTACCGTTCGTATACCATTGATATGACTTATGATTTTACTATCAATATATTTCTTGTTATCATGACTACTGCCATGAGTACTAGTATTACTGTTATCTACTACTCCTACGATTTCTATTGCTCTTACTCTTGTCTTTGCGCCGGAAATGATCTTGCCAGTGGCTTCGTCTTAGTGGCTTTATATAGGCTTTTTTGTACAGTGCACGATTTTCTGGCGGCATGTTTTGTATTCAGACAAAGCCGAGACATTCAAAGACTTGTCCGTCAGAGCTTTGGAATAAAAGGTTTGCCTCCGGCTCTCCGGCTACTTCCAAACATGATGAAACGATGCCCCATGTTTTAAGACTTAAGACTGCCTCCTTTGTTCATGTGAGTTCATACACACACAGAGTCTGGAGTAGAAGCATCAGTTATTGAACAGAGTAGGGTTGGTGGGGACAGTCAGTCTGTGCGCGTGTATGTTTTACTTTCTCTTTCCTTATCTCCTTATCTTCTTCTCTCTCTCCTCCTCTTCCCTTTCTTCTCCTGCTCTTGCTCTCCCATTCCTTCGCCCATGTCCTACGCGCTCTCTGCATCTGACTTGTTCAGGACCATCTACGCTTTGAACTTTTCATAATCAAAATCAGGTTTGTCCTGGATGAGCTGTGGTCAGTGTTAGGTGTTATCCCGTCTCCCTACTTTTGAGAGCCCCGTACGTAAAGTACAAGGGACAGGAATGGAAGAGTCACTACGTCAGCCACGGCGTTTTGTAACAAAGGGGATGAGTGAGAGCAAGTTGAAGATGGACTTTGGGGTTCGTATCCTCACCGTCTCGAACCCTTGTCAGAGAAGCCCAGCTATCCCCGCATCCCCTGCTTCAGGAAGAAGTAGCGGGCCCTAGCTCAAATTGGACTTCGCGCTGGATTCTAGCTCGAGCCGTGATGCCAAGGTCGTTTGCCCTTGATGAATGGAACACGGCGGCAGATGGGACGAAGTCAAAGCAACACACACTGATTTGACAGTTAGTATGACATGAATGACATGGTAGAAGCGAATATCTTCTCCCAGTTTCGTGAACGGTGATCCAAGGCTGCAGTCCTGCTGCTGTCTTGAGGCCTTACTTAGATAGCCAGCATTGGAGTCTAGACATACTTCCTGCTGCAAATCCCGCATGGGCGCCAACAGCTCATGCACCGAAGTCATGCTGCCGGCGGGAAAGAATGCCATCAGGCGCACCCATGGGGCATTTTTGGGTGTTCCTATAGTAAGGATGAAAGTATTTGGGGGTCTTACTGTGGGCCCGCTGCTTAGGTCCGCCCTTAAGAATCTGAACCCTAAGCCCTTAACCCCAGACCGCAAGGACTAAAACCTTAAGCCCAAAACCCTAAACCCGAAGCCCTATAAAGCCTGAACCCCATAAACCCTAAGCCCTATAAACACTAAACCCCCAAACCCCTGAGTCCGATAAGCCCTAAACCGTCAGCCTTACAAACCCTATGCCCTAAACCCTACATCCCAAGCCCCCAAACCCTACACCTCAAGCCTTACAAACCCAAAACCCTAACCCCAAACCCAAAACCCTAAATCCTAAGCGTTACAAAACCTCAACCCTAAACCCTAAACCCTAAGCCCTAAACCTGAAGAATATACAATCCCAGTTTCCTTTTCATTTTCCATTTTCTTTTCCATTTGATTCTCCATTATTGGGGTACTAATCCCTGTAATTAAGCCCTAAACCCTATACAACCCTATATAACCCTAGATTATATAACCCTATATTACCTTAAATCTCCTGAAGAAGGCCTGGGAGCTCAAGCTCCGATGTGGGCTCCGAGCGAAGCTCGGAGGCCTCGACGCTGCGCCTCGGGCTGCCCGACCCGGCCATCGTCAGGCGATACTTTTTTGGGGATTTAGGGTTTAGGGTTTAGGGTGTAGGGTTTAGGGGATTTAGGGTTTTGGGATTTAGGGTTTAGGGTTTAGGGTTTTGGGATTTAGGGTTTAGGGTTTAGGGTTTAGGGTACAGGGTTTATCAATTTCAAGCAATACAGTCAAGGAACCTAGGATCATACTATGGGTAACCTATGTATCGTCCCCAGAATATTGGCAATTCATTTGAAGCTAACCCTAAGCCCAATACCTTAACCCCTACCTAAACCCCAAAAGTATTTAAAATAATAGCCCTAAACCCATAATAATGGCCATCAAGGCCATTATTTTACATACTTTTGGGGTCCAGGTAGGCATTAAGCGCCTGAACTCTGAAGACCCCAGAATAGTAGTTGATTCTACCCTAAACCCAATAATACCCCAACCCTAAAACCCTGAAACCCTAAACCCTCAAGCCCATATAAACTTCCCATTGCCAAATTAGGGGTTTGGATGGTTGTTGGCATTCGGAAGGGTCTAGGCTTTAGAGCGCCCCAGGAAAGACAGACGTGCTCTTTGCGATCTCAGGGAATCTACAAAATATTGATGCGATGCGCAGTTTCCCCCACGATTCTACACAGACTCCGAAAAGGGGTCCTGGAATCCAGGCACATCTCCTAACATAATCCGTGTATGGCCTCCATGAATCCCCGAGTCCCGAAAATCCTTGGGGCCCTAAACCCCAAACCCCTACACCCTAAACCCCTAAACCCCTACACCCTAAACCCCTAAACCCCTAAAGCCTAAACCCTAAAGCCCTAAACCCTAAACCCCTAAACCCTAAAACTTCAGGCACGTCACTGTGGAGCAGTACCTGGAACTGGCAGAGCTGCTCAAGGGATCAGCCGCAGACCGCCAAAAGCTGGCGGCGGAGCTCCAGGTGTGGGGGTTTAGGGTTTAGGGATTAGGGTTTAGGGATTAGGGTTTAGGGTTTACGGGTTTAGGGTTTAGGGGTTTAGGGTTTAGGGGTTTAGGGTTTAGGGGGCTTAGCATGGAACCCCAAAAAGGCGCTACGCCGCTACGTAAAGAATACAAGGGCTGTAAGGGTTGCCGTGTTGGTTGGGAGAGTGTAAAGGGTTTATAGGAGCCAGATTTTTCTAGGGTTCAAGGTTTTGGGTTTCGGGGCCTTAGGCTGTAGGGCTTTCTACGTGTTAGGGGTTTAGGGTTCAAAGCGGTTTAAGGATATAGGGCTCACGTGGTTCAGGTTCTTGGTGCTTTGAGTTGAGTCTTGCCATCGTCTTTGGGTTGAAAGGAGGAAGTCAATTTTGAGTTGGAGGGTCAGGCCCTAAGACAGCTGCGGCTGAAGTATCCCTAAACCCTTAGAACCCTACACCCTAAGTACTCCAGGTGCTACGTCGGCAGCTGCAAGAAGCAAGTGGTGCCCACAGCCGCATCAGCCAGCGCCACGCAAACGAGTCCCGGGACCGAACCTGGGCAGCCGCAGTAGTTTAGGGTTTAGGGTTTAGGGTTTAGGGTTACAGTAGGCATTGAGGTCATTGTCTGGATTCACTGATACGTGTCTCTTTTTCTTGGTTTCTATTGCAATGCGGGTCCCTATATGGATTTCCCGGTCAAGTCCCACTTAATTGGGGTTGATCCAGTCCTCACTGACCATACCAAAAGTCTTGAACCCCAGAATCAAGCGAACACAGGCCATTCTTATGCGTCTTTGGGGGGTCTCGAGAGGGTTTGGGATGTAGGACGTATATGAACGGGGGCTACTGCGAAGGTATTTGAATCAGGCTCAAATTCAATTTTCTGGATTCTTACTGCCATCCGGGTTTCCACAGTGCTTCCTAGAACCGCGTAGCAAAATCCTGTTCCAGGTGACAACAGCAAGCATGGCTGACTGTTCATCAGTGACTGAAATTTCCCCTAACATCTGGGATACCCAGGTGGGCAGGTACCAGGTGATGGCTCTTGTAGGAGGCCCATGAAGGCCGCATGTACTTCCAGTAGCCTTATATGGGCTGTAGTCTAAATTCCTTAAAGGGGGGTCATAAAGGGGATTATATGCGGGACTATTGTAGAGCTTTTTAAGGGGGATACTAGGAGTTTAGACTATAGCTCATATGGGGGGTACCCACCTGGGAGATATCAGCAACCCAGGAAGAGAGGCAGAAGCCCAGCGCGACCGGCACGCCAATCGTGCGAGCAAGCTCCGCAAGAGCATGGCCGCTGTCAAAGACAGCGAGGAGGCACTCAAAGTGGAGTTGACCCAGGTCCGGGTTCATGAAAATAACCATTAATAATAGCAATAATAGTTAATGAAATGAATTGTAACAATAGTAATGATAGTATTCATACTAATAAGGTAGCAACAATAATAATTAGTAAGCAGTAATCACGACAATCAGGCCCCAAGGGACCTTAGGGCTACATGACATTACAGTGAGCTTAGTATGTCCCCAGGAAGGAATCCATGGGGGTAACTTTAGGAAAAGACTCAGGTCAAGGCGAGCGAGAGCCGCCTTCAGAAGATGTTGGATCAGCACAAGGAGGGGGTTTCCCATAATTAGGGTACCTTTTTGGGGGGTCCCAAGATTAAGGCTCCTAGTATTTTGGGGTCTACATTGGGGTCCCCCTAATTATGAAAACTGCCAGGACCAGCTTTCGAAGCTCCGATTGGAACACCAGAAGCTTGTGAACCTTCTGGCTTTACAACGGAAGCAGATGCAAGTCTTAGGCACCTTGTCATGCCCGCAATGTGCTCTCAAGGCCCGTGAAATCGGTGCCGTCAGGGACTTCTTTCAGGAAGCTCGCCAAAGGTAAGCTAGCTTTCGCGCGGACTGTCGAAGCAAACTCTGGATTTGAGATTCTCCAGCTTTGCAACACTGGATAGACCACTCTGCATGTGCATGTGTGCCTACCTAATCTGTCTGAACTCTTCGCACTTCCGGCTCCAGCTCCAAAGAGGGCTCCATGACCAAAGTCATCCATGCAATCGCAAACCATGCTTCGAGAATCCGCACTGCGCAGCTTGTATTCCGAAACGGAGTTTGTTTGTGGTTTATTGGCCTTTAGCTGCCAATCCCATATAGCCTCCACTTCACAAGGATCTTTGATGCAGGCCCTTCAAACATTCATTTCATGGGTTCCAACCAACCGGCATGGACTTGCACTCCCCCAGTACGCCTTGACACCGCGAAGTGCTGCGATGCCGGAAGATAAGACCTAGTGATTTGGGAGGTTTCTGGTCATCACGTTCCAGACAACCGCCAAAGTTATCATCAGTCTACCAAAGACTGAAATTAAGGATTCAGCAATAAGACCTTAAATCCAAGGATGCACTGGGGTTAACGCCAGCTCAGATCCTTCGTGATGCCTTCTTTTGGCATCCAGCCAGCGTCATGTCGACGAAGTCGCTTGCACTTACGTCGCCCTGGCCTGCTGTAGTAGTGGCACTAGCAGTAGTAGAAGAATTAGAAGACAAAGTAGTAGAAGTAGTGGAAGAAGAAGTAGTAGTAGTAGTAGTAGTGGTGGTTCTACTAGTAGTACTAGTAGTACTAGGAGGTCGGGGTTGGAATTATTCTTCCGTGTGCTGAATTCCATGGCCAGGCTGGTCAGGCCAGGGGTACTGGAGCTGCGATCCGTCTTTCAGGATGAGCCGGTGCCCTAGACATCAGAGAGCTTTGAAAGGAGAGATGAGGTGGGCTGAAGGGTTTGTGGCCTCGGAAGTGGACTTTTCTATAGGAACCCATCTCAGAATTTTGACACATTACATTACATTATATCTCCTCTGACTTGCTTCAAACGGCAGATCTTCTGGTCTCTGTGCATTAACGGTTTAGGGTGCTGCCAGGTAGTTGGACATGTTTGCAGGAGTTGCCTGCTGATGAAGCATTTTTCAAAGGTTGAGAGGCTCTCTGTACTGACCCATGAGCATGCAGCCGCAAAAGCTTCCTTTGCGTGTTTACCTCATAGTCGTTCAATCGCCCCCCCTCATGTAACGGGGCCCCGTGAAACGGCTGCTGCGCTCTCAAATCACATCCCCATTTTGCCTCTTGAGGTTTCCATCTTCTCATCTTTGGAAACCCTAAACCCTAAACCCTAAACCTTTGGAAACTTCCACAACACGTCACGTCCTAGTCCACAGTTCGTTCCAGAGATCTTATTGTAAGTCAGTAGGCTGCAGGATCCTTCCTAAATGGGGGTTTACCAAAAATAGGGGTACCATTTTGGGGGTCCCAATAGTAAGGACTATAGTATATTGGGGTCTATATTGGGGTCCCCCTATTTGGGGAAACTACCAAATGGGCAGCTGACTCGCAAGTAGTTCCTGTTTCCCTTTCCTACACGACACAGCAAAACACTTTCATGGCAATGAGTGGATTGGGGGGGGAGACATCCTCCTGCCGAGGAATTTGCGGCCTGGCCAGCTATTGGTGCTCCAACCATCAAACATGAAAAGCCAACAGTTTAGGGTTTAGGGCTGAGGGTTTGCGTTTCTGAGATTGAGACATGAGGCTTAGAAGGATCAGTGCAACAGTGGTTCGCATGTTTGTTGATGGCTTAGTTTGGGTACCTCACCCTCTTTTTGGATTCCCTCACTGTAGCAAATTGAAAGTTCGGGTTCAGTGTCCTCGGGCTCCGCGGTTTGAGGTTCGGCCCGTCGGGCTTGGAGCATTGTCGTAGCACCTGCAGGTCTAGACGAGGTATTTGGTGTTGCCGGGGGCGTTTGCTTAGATATTCATTTGAGGCCATATAGCTCCGAAGGCGTAGTCATCATTTGTAGAGCGCAGCTGTTGTCTGTGTTTATGACTGTCAGCATCTTCAATTGTTATGTTTGTCCTTGTCTCCATCCGTGTCGCCTTTCCCATCATTGTTACTCCTACTGCAGTTAGTTGCCATTCCTAGCACTAGGATTTGGCTCTTACTAGCTGACTCTCAGCCCCCAAACCCCGAAAGCCCTAAGCGATAAACCTCTGGATTCTAGATCTTAAACCCATGAGAGAAGAAAACACGGCTAGGTACAGGTGGAGTACAGCAGTGTGCAGCCAAAGGACGGCGAGATGTTTGCAAGCGGCCCAGACTTTCCTCAGGGTTTGAGCGTCCATGTAGGTTAAAGGCATTAGGTGTTCCATAGGGTTCTCAAGCTCTTGCAGGATTCAGGAGTTCTCTAGGGTTTAGGGTTTTTGGGTGCAATCACAAGCCCGAACTAGGGCGGGAGTATCGTTCCGTTATGCATGGGGGATCTAAGATCATTGTGGCCATTCTAAGGACGTCAGCGTCCAAGCACATTAACCCAAACTTGTTCACATTGAGGCCGAAGCCTTCATCTCTTTAGTCCCTAGACCCAAGCCCTCAACCCTAAGCCCCAAACTTCATTGGCCGAGAACTGCAGCGGAGCTTTCGCCGAGCTCCAGCTACCGCATGTTCTTGGCGTGGAGGGCGTACCGTGGTACGCAGAGATGGCTTTGTGATGTTTTGTGCATGCTGTTGAGTGTAGGGTCGGGTGACAGGCGCTCAAGACTAGTGGCTTCATTCCGCAAGACTTGTTGGAATGACAGCTGCAGTAAGAAACTCAATGTGCATCAGAGGAAAAATGGCCATTTCCGGTGTAAGCCATACTCCAGAACTACCGCTGGAAAGATTTGGTTTATGGAGACCGTGACTGTCAGCTGGAGTTATCGTTTGTGGAGGTGATAGTCGATGTTGGTGCTGTTGGTGGTCGCTGAGTCCCGTGGTTATAGCGGTGGCGGCGGCAGCAGCAACTGGCAACAGCAGAGACTAACGTAGCGAATCGGTCAACGGTCAGCACTCAAGCCATACGCCTTGGAGAGCTCCTGCGAGATCTGTACGATTGCAATAGCCGCCGCTGAGGTTGGAGTGGTCTTGAAGTCTCGATCCGAAACTTTCGAAGAAGGAGCCAGGACTCGAGAAGCTTTGTGAGATCCGCATGCTTCCTTGATCAGCTCATGTGACTGCAGCTCCTAACATCCCTCGTCTGGCTTCTGCTGCCACTCTGCTGCTGGTCACTGGAGTAGGAAGTGCAATCGGGAAAGCTTCTCAGCGCAACCCCGTGCTCATGCAGTAATGGGTTTTTCATCGCTGCATACTGCTATGACTATTCTTGACGCCCTCGTCAAGGTTTTGCCGTAATTGCCGGTGAGTGCTGCGGGTATAATCGACCATGTAGAAATAGTAGCAGAATTGTTGTATGATAGCAAGGAGTTTTGATAGCCAGTAAACAGCAACAGCAGCAGTAATTACGTGTATCGTTGCGATTTCAGTACCCCTAAGCCGCAAGCACTGAACCCTAAACCGAGTATATATGTGTTCGCTGTTGACTTGCGGGCGGGAAGGATCGCCTTCCTCCTGAAGAAGTTCTTTAATGATGAGCGCCTGCAACTCGGTTCCCTGACTTCTGCAGGCTTTTCTAACGCGCCTACATGGGTTTTAGGCCATTGCCTAGGACAGACTCATTGCATTTTGAAAGAGATGAGTTTGAAGTCTCCAAGGCAGTTGAGTTCGTGCCTAGGTTGTGCTGCGGCTGTAGATGTTGTTTAGCAGATGCAACTTCCACAAACCCTGGTCACTAAAAAGGCTACTAGAATACCCCTATCATTTTGAATTTTCATACACTCCTGAGCCCAAGCCTTATAAGTGCTTATAAACACCCCGAAACCCTACGACTAGCCTTGTTAAGCCCCTACAAAGGTCCTCGCTGCAAAGCTACACAGGCTGACGGGACCCTGACTACCCTAACATAAACTCCTGCGTTTTTTAGAATCCTGAAATTAATAATTAGCAATCATATCAGAATATATTACTAGTAATAATATACCAATAGCAAAAAGAATTGGATAGTATTAATGTCCTGCAAGTGCGAAGGGCATGGCTGCTGGCAGCGGCGGCTCATCTTGGATGAGCAGCGGGCAATGATCGTGCCGGTGCCACCAAGTTTTGACTTGGGCTGTTTCTGAAAAGGGTAGGGTGAGGGCTCAAAGATGAAACAAGAACGACGTTCGGAACCTGAGTTGCAAAAGGCCTGCGTCGAAAGGGCTGCAAGTGTATCAACGGTTTTGGCGTGATCTCAATCTTCTCCTGCAATGCTCGCCCCACTGCACCCTCCAAGAAGTGCATCAATTTAAAATGCATCTGGGATGACGCAAGTGAAATGACTCAGTCACTGAGTGATTAAGCTGAAGAGGTGGGGGGAACCGGGAATCTACCAACATACCTTGACACTGGATGTATGCCAGACATCATGGCTACAGCTTGCAAAACATCCTACTTGGTCGTTTTACAATCTTAAAGGTTTAGGGTTGAGGGTGTTACTCAATGCAAATACGCCTGACTCAGCACTTTGCAACAATCTTCCCCTAAACCCTAAACCCTAAACCCTTGACCCCATCTAGCATCATGTTGTGCAGCAGGTGCCTCCTGTTGGGGCCCTGGATTACGTTGTCCACTCACTTGAGAGTCCGGCTTAACGAGGTGCGTGTTTAGGGTTTAGGGTTTTGCGATTGACAGATTTTTGCACTTAATAAAAAGCAGGCAGCAATATAGGTAACACATTCCGGATTTTTCCGTTTCAGCTTCAGCTTGTCCAGGGGCGACTACACTTCGGGCTGGGCATGTATGATTTGGCAGTTGTCATAATTAGGGGGACCCCAATATGGACCGCAAAATGCCATGGTCCTGTTTAAATGGGGAACACCCCAAAAAGATACCCTTGCTTTTGGGAAACCCTATAAGATCCCTATATATCCCTATCTATCCCCCCCCTTTAAAGGTACACCGAATTTTGGGAAATCCCCATTTAGAGC